TACTTAGTTCTTCTGGTATTCACTATGTCCTTTGTTGAAATATTAGACAGGAAAAGCGTGTGTGCACTTCAGCTCTTTGACACTCTGGCGTTTTTGGCTATTGTAAGCTTCCGTAGATCTTTTATTGCCGTTTCACATTATGTGGAATGAATGCGTTTCTTTATCCCGAGTTCTTTCCCGTCTGCCCGGTTCTCGGTATAGTGCCAGCGTTAAATCACGAGTGCGAACAATAACAAGCATCTCGGCTTGCCCCTTCCTGTCCGACAAGGTGGGGTGCTGCAGCATGCGGGTTTTCTGCTCACGCTGAGAGTCAGGACCGGGCACTTGCGCAGCTGACGTGACTGGCCGTAAATAGAGAAACCTTTCTGAGTAGGATGAGATGAACTTTTCTGTTCCGTTGTACAAGTTGCCCTGAAACTTTGGGGCCATATGCCCCGCAAAGCAAAAAGTATTTACCATCTGGCTCTTTACAGGAAAAGTCTGCTGACCCCTGACATACAGCTTCTGCCACCAGTGAGCTTGCATAGTATTGGAGTGATGGATGCCGACGACATACTAAGCTGAGCGTGTCACGAGATGCGGCGAGGAGACACCGGCCTTGCTACCAGTGAGAGGTAAAGGGCAGATGACATGGCACACTGTCAAGCTAGCAACGAAGATGAGCTTTGCTGTGGGGGGGCGGCGGCACACGGGTCTGCTGGGGACGCCCGTGCTGGAGGAGGACGAAATCGACAACTCCGAGACCCCTTTGTAACTGTAAACATGACGGCGTTCCAACGATTTCTGGTTGAGCCAGTGTGGTTTCCAAATCCCATTAAGTACACTTCAATCCCTTCAAGAGTGCTGGCAAAAAAACCCCTAGTATTGAAAACGGGATTGTGAATATAAAAAATGTCGAGATACCACCATCGTCTCAGCCTTCGACTCTGACTCATCTGGACACCCGACTCATCGGAGGCAGAGTTCAGTGTGCATTGATAAAAATAAAGAAGCTAAATTCGACGCCAAGATGAAAAAGTTCTTTTCTATCTTTCAAAGAGATCAGACCTCTCCGAAGGAAATGACCCTAAACTAGGTAACTCTGGTGCGCTTTGGATCACGAATGCCATGCTTCTGTGGGACCTTACCTGCTGCCACATACATACCTGGGAGTCTGAAGGGACCTGTCAGAGTGTCAACAGGGGGCTGGACCAACAGTGTATTTTTTAGAGACGAAACTGAGACAAACCATTATGTATATAGTAGCGTTACCAACGATAGCCAAAGTATAGAAAGAGCCTGAATGTTCACTGACTGACAAATGGATAAGGAAGATGTGGTGTATCTATATGCAATGGAATACTACTTGGTGAAATCTTGCCATTGGCAACAACATGCATGGAACCAGAGTACATTATGCTAAGTAAAATAAGTCAGGCAGAGAAAGACAGATATCGCATGATTTCACTCACATGTGGAATTTAAGAAACACAACAGAATTTAAGAAACACGCAGTAGGGGAAGGGAAGGAAAAACAAAATAAGATAAAAGCAGAGAGGGAGGCACACCATAAGAGATTCTT